TTATATATATATATATATATATATATATATATTTTGGAGGAGAAAGACAAAGACATCTCAGTCGATAAAACTTCCCATACACGTTGTACAAAACCGGAACACGAATTGATTCTGGATCTGGAGATAGGATTGAAGTGCATGTATTGCGGATTCGTAGGGAAAAAAATTTGAAACATGGACACATCCGAATGGGTAAGTAATTAGTCATTTTTTTGGTTATAACAAATCTAAAATAAGTTGAAATCTATATGACTGGATTATAATCAGTTGATGTTGTTTGGTTTTTTAAATTTTAATTATAGACATAACTTTTGATTAAGTAATAATATTGAATACAAATTTAGGCTATATGCTTTTTAAACATAAATGAGATTTTCTACGTTTCTGTTCGAATGGAGAGATGAAGAAGATTAAGAGGAAGAGGTCTGGAATGTCATCGAAATTCACATGAAGCCTCCTTTTTTTTATGAACAGTTTATATATGTAATCTCTTTTTTTTTTCCTAAGAACCTTGATGTTTAATTTTATGACATTTGATAATTTATCTTTGGAGAAATTATTTATGGTTGTTTGAAAATTTTCATCAGAAAAATTGACGATAACTTGATGATATATAACATGCCAACATTTTAGTAATCCAGACATAATGTTCGAATATCGCAGTATATGAGTAAAAATCATACAGTAGACACTCTATAAATTAATATTCGATAAATTAATAAACTCAATTAATTAATAAATTTCTTTGGTCCCAAATTTATGTTTTGGTTTAATAAATTTTTTTATAAATTAATAACTCTCTAAATTAATAAAATATAAATTTATAGAGTTTTTATTGTATATTTTCAATAACACATTAATGAGAGTAGCAGATATTCCTCTCTCTCTCATACGGTCGCATTTATTCGACGTCATTAAAGTTCGCAAAGAATTTCCAAAATCCATTGTACTTCTTCATTACTTTCCCAAATCCATCACTTTTTCCTTCTTCCTCTCTCTTAGGGTTCAGATTTTCCCCAAAATATTGCAAAATCCATCATTTTCTCTTAGGGTTTCAGAACTTTCACAAAACTTGGTCTCGACCATTTTCATATATAAATCCATGGCAGAGTACTCCTACCTACTAGCCCTACCAGACGAACTACTGGAAAAGGTTCTAGCAAAGTCGGCTAACACAATTGGTGACCTAATACGGATTCGTTCGATTTTTCATAGTTTCAACGACTGCACCAGAGGCCCTTGCTTCTACGCTGAAGTTGATCCCTTTAATATGGGTCATCCAGTGGATCAAGATGTCCATCTCATCATTAATGTCTTCAGAGAGTTCTATGATGCACGAAATCCAGGCATGCTTATCATGTGAGGTATGCAACTCTTTTTTCATCGACATGATTTTGGAGGGATTCTACTGATCAAGGATGCGGCGGATAGAGGGTACACGCGTGCAGTATATGTCTACGGGATGTTCATGAAACTTGTTATGGAAAATCCCGAGGGTGATGAGTACCTCATCAAACTAAGCCGGTAAACAATAAGGAAGTGCACCCGCGACCTCGTTGAAGAAGTATATCTTGGTTGCCCATTGGGGTTGCCAGAGATGTTTGATGAAAGCCACTGTCGCTTTTTACCGCGCCTCAATACTCTTATCCACTGTCTGTGCGGTACAGTTAACCGATGGGAGCGTTGGTGAAATGATGAGTATAAACCAGGGAACATCTGCGACTACTGCTTCTTAACTCGCGAATGCGGAAGGTTCTTCCTATATGTGTACCGGGTAGTTAGGGTTTTCTGATATGGTCAACTGGTGAATGTGTCTGATGTTTTCTGTCTTATGTTTTTTTGTTTTTTGTACTTCCTTATGTTCTGGATTCCGTATGTGCACAATTCGTAATGTTTTGTACTCCTTTATGTTGTGTATAAACATTATTCTAATAATTTTTTAATTCGAACTGTTTAGGCCTAGTATTCCACATATATAAGTGGTTACACCAAATAATACTAAGATGGTTATACCTAATAATACTAGGTTATACCATTTATATGTGGTTTCACCAATAATACCAAGTTTTCCCAATATTTGGTTTTCAATAATCCAAAATCAATAATGAAAATAGAAGTACACACCCTAATACAGTTTAATCCAAATACAAATACATATATCAACTGTCATAGGAGACTTAACGTCTCTGCCTTGTGTTTGGCCCTAGCTTCGATTGCTCTTGTTTCCGTTTACCTGCACCCACTTCTGCGTTCACAACGTCAGCACCGTCTGGTTCTACCTACACATACCAAGTAATACAACATAGTATTACCACGAAATATTAAGTATTACCAAAACAATGGATATTACTCTTCAAACTTCAATACCTCTTTACTTCTAAGCAGGTACGGAGATCGGGCTACAAGCTGCTCCGCCTCTTTCAGCTCCGCCTTATTCATCTCCGGCTCTTTCTGCTCCGCCTCCTTCTGCTCGGCCTCCTTCTGCTCCGCTTCCTTCTACTCTGGCTCCTTTTGCTCCGGCTCCTTCTGCTCCGGCTCCTTCTGCTTCTTCTTCGGCTTCTGCTTTGGCTGTTTCTGCTTCCTCGCTTTCTCAGTTGTCACCAGACTTTCAAGTTTCTCTCCACATTGTTCATGTTAATGTTCTACATCATTTCAAAAAACTTCTCCTCCCTCATCTCTTGGTCCTTCCCTTCTCTTCTTGTCTCTTTTACATATTGTTCTACAGAGCAGAGTCTTGTATCAAAGCCATCCATTCGGGCACTGATTCGGAGAAACTGAGCGTCCCATACTCTTCTGCAAGCTCTGAAGCTGATCCAGCAATCCAAGAGGCGCCACCTTCTCCGTCCCCACATTATTCTTAGCCGCTGCAGGATGGTTTACCCACTACTTATTATCTCGGAAATCAATATCGATCTTGCATATCTCTTTCCAGAATATCGGCTTCTTTTCCTCAACTAAATGCCTCGTCCAATTTTCAGGAACGATATCACCGATATCTTCCTCTTCATTCCTCTCCATGACTCCAGCAAGCATAATTACCTCATCCTCGGATGGTTGCAATATACTCTTGATGACCCTAGTGTTACCCAGTGTTTCATAGAGTTCCGACAAAGGGAAACCTTTTAGGGTGAATGGTTGAAACTTCTGCATGCACATCTGGTTCTCACTAGATGTACTCCTAGTTTCTACTGCAATAGAACAGTGATGTAGTTGTAATATAAAGGATTCGAAATCCAGAGGACCAGTGACTATTCAGGGCACAAGTGTAACGCAAGTCTCGAACTCAAACAGAAAAGCTTATCGATCCACTGTCGTGATCTCGATAACTTTGTCTAACAACCTAAATCCTAAACTGTCGTTTGAATCTAGAAAATTGCAGACAAGCATTAGCTAGCAGGTTTGATCTGTTCACGATTTGCCTTAACTTCAACTGTCGTTGGCTAAGGACAAACCGCTCACCAATGTTTATTCTAGCAACCTATTACACTTTTGATGAACAAATTAACCTAAAATCGCAGATTGAGTGATCAATTCAACCTAAGCATTAAGTCTAACAATGGTGAAGACAATAGATATCAAGCCCTATTTGCATCTAATCCTCTAACTCATGAAATCCTTTGAACGCTTTAATCTAGCTAAGAGATCTACTCAGACATGGAGAAAAGAAACACAGAAACAGATGGAAAGGAATTCATGAATTAAAATCGCAGAAGAGATTATAGGGTTCAGAATTCTTCTCAAAGTGTAGCAGATTTCTTCTCCCAAAAGCTTACAAGTAAAAACTCTATGGTTCAGGAAATTGTAAAAAGAAAAACGTAGAAAGTCTGTAGAAAAACGTGATAATAAAACACAGGCGGCTGTGGGCTTTTTATTCTCTTTCTCCTCCCAAAATTAGGTAAAAGTCGATTTCCTTATTTTTCTCCCGTCTGGAGCAGGTGCTCTACGAAGGGTCCAAACCGGGAGCAGGTGCTCCGGGGATGATTTCTCCAAAAACGTGTGAAATAGCTCCTTATTGCTCAAATTCATCTCTTTTTGCTCCAATGCCTCCTAAACACTCCAATCCTTTGATAAGGCCTCTAAGTCACCTGAAACTTCCTGAAAAGACTCCAAAAACTCCTAAAACAATCAGTAAACACAAGTTAGAATGAGTCAAAATCTCCACTCATCAACATCCAGGGACAATCCCTCTCTGCTCCTCTAATATATTCTTTGTATTTGTTCTTCAGACATGTGATGGCCTCAAAGGCTATCAACTACACATAAACCCAACAAATTACACTTACGCTCAGAGTATTACATAGTTACAAATTCTTTATAATGTGACATACCTCCAAGGGAGTAACAAAGCTTGGAAATGTCCAAGCATCTGTTTCGACGACCCCATTGAAATGCCTCATTGTGTGCTCAATCTCCTTCATATTTACATCGAATGAATACCTACCCCAAGGAAACTTTTTACAAGCCTCGAGATCATCCACAATCCTCAGGAATAAGGGGTCAACAGATGGTGCTTCCTTACCGGTTTTCGTTTTCTCACTAATTATAGAGGATAAGAAGTAGATGACACATATCTTCAACCGATCAGAATTAACTAGCCCTCGCATCGACTCTAGCTTTTTCTCAACGGCAGCAAGGGAGGGGACGGTTTCTTGGAAATATCTATTCTTAAACGAAGAACTTCCTATGCTCTCATAGTCCTCTGGGTACGGGAGACAGTTTAATCCACACAAAATGGCATTCTCTCTAAGGGAATAGCGAATCGGTACGCCATTCACTACAAACCAAGCTTCCCTCTTCTTATTTGTGTTTGATGTCCGAAGAAGAAGCAACCACATTCCCATCATCTTGTGTGTTGTGTCTTCATGCATGACCCTATGCATATGCCAAAAGTGCTTGAACTGTGGGTGTTCTATAAACCATAACAGCTCATGGGGTTCAAGGTCTAGGGACTCCAATTTCGCAACAGCTATGTGGATATAACATCTTGTTCCCAGCTTTATTGCATTATGATACTGACTGGGCTCGAAGAACATTCTCACGGGTGGCAATGGTTAGTTCTCCTCCTCCTCAGCCTCAGCCTCAGTTCCCCTCCACAACATTATCTGATTATTACCCGTCTATGATTCGGCAACTCCTTCTACCATTTTCTTCTGCGATGATTCGGAATCTAAGTACAGTTCTGGTTTAGCATATCTAAACACTCTTTCGTTGCCTAAATTCATGACTCATATTTTGTAATTACCAACCGAATAGAGAACATATTAATCGAATTTTGGATTCTACACAAAACCGAGTTCAAATCTACAAAGTAATATAGATAAAAATTAGAAATCAGAGGACGAAGACGAACGAACCTGATTTAGCGAGGCGTGATTCAAGACAGGCAGCAGCAAATCACTAGTAGTTGTCTCAGAGAATACTAAACGATGAAGACGACGAGAGGACGATTTCGAAATTTAAATTTTTTTAAAAAAATTTAGGGTTTGACTTACCACAATTTTGATCGAAAATCCGATTTCTTCGGATTCAACCCAATATGACAGACTGGGTGTGAATCTTCGTGGTTGGGTTAGTAAATATGAAACTTTAGTAAGGACTTTCAAGTATTTGATCGCTTTTCTCCTTTTTTTCTTGCTTTAAAATAAATCGAAAAAAAATTAAATATTATGAGGAAGAGATTTGAGAATTTCTTTAATGCGGAAGGAGTACGCGAGATTATTCCTCGTTATTTATTCGAATGCCTTTAATCGCCAACTTCTTTCGGTTTTTACTTTTGTTACTTTTCGGATTTGTAACTCTTGTTTTGGATTTTTATCGATTAAAAATGAGTTATGAATGATATTATCATTTTTCGACCCAAAAAAGAAAAAAAAAGAAAAAAAAAAGAAGAATGACATTATCATTTAAGCGTTACTATACTAACTACTAAGAGCATGATCAACGGCGTTTTTAGCGTGGTCTTTAAGGGTTTTTAATGATTAAATTAAATCAAAACTGATTAATAAAGCTAAAGACGTCTCTTAATTAGACGACGGAGGAAACGTCTTTAAATGGCACGTGGCGGTTTAGTATTGGTTAAAAATTTTGTGGAGAATGAATTTTTTTCTTTCTTCTTTCATTTCTCTATTTTCATTTTCTTTCTCCTTCTTTGTTTTCTCCGTACCTCGACGATTCCTTCTTTGTTCTCTGCATCTCGACGACACCGTGGGCTTCGTCGACTGATCCCGACCGAGGCGGTGATGGAAGCGCCGGTGTTCCGGGTTGAGAGTATGGATGGGATTCGTCTTCTCAATCGCCAGAGGTAAGCGATTCATCTTCTCAATCTATTTTGATGCTCTTTCTTCTCAATCATTGATCGATGCATGATCTAGGATTACTGATCGATGCATGATTTTGGGTTTAGATTTTTGTTTTGCCTCATGATATTTTGATTCTGTTTTGGTTGAAAAATTGCTTCAGAATCGATCCGATTTGGTCCTTGTCCTGATCGGTTTTGCTTGTTTAAACTATGTTTTTGCGTTGCTTGGAGAGTAGGTTTGATGTTGATTCACTATGTTTTTGCTTGATGTTGCTTCAGAATCGATCCGATTTGGTCCTTGTTGGTGTATATCTTTGATCGTTTTAATAATGGATGGTTGTGAAGTTAGCTTTGAGTAGGTTTTAATATGAGTTAGCTGAGAGTAAGTGTTTGTATTGATGGTGGTTTTGGTTCTATATTTAATGTTGATCGTTTTTTTCCCTTGCACGAGAAGAGAATATCGAGGAATGGAATCAAGAGGAGTGAAGAAGGACAGAGGTTTAAAGGCATCATCAGCTTCTCACAAAAAGGTCAGCTTCATATTTCATTCCTCTCAGCTCGTAATTAATGAAAGTTAGGATTAGGTTATGGTAGTTTTGAGAGTTAATGGTTTAGTGTTTAAGTAAAAAGGCGATGTAGATATATGTCAAGTCAGACTAGTTGTGGTGAATGCTTGTATTTGGTTTAGGTTGTGATGAATGCTTTGTCTTGAATGCGAGTGATGAATGGTTGCTTTTACTGTTTCTTTATTCTCTGGGTTTAGGTGTTCTTTACTTCATTCTCCTCTTCTATTTAAACCTTGTTTAAAGAGAACACTTCCATCTTCTTCCACTCTTCTCCTCCTAAATGTCTTCTACATATCCCTTTAACCAACCCTCAAACTTTGTTGACCTCTTGCATAGCCAGCAAGAGACTGTGGCAACCTATCCTAATCCATTCCCATCACTAGAACTCCCTGCATTCAGCACCCAAACTTCCCTTGAAGATCAAGGACCATTCGATGATGAGCCGACCAAGGAGCCTGCACATCGTCGAGAAAGAAGATCATGGAATCCTGCAGATGATACTCTCCTCATAAGCGCATGGTTAAATACAAGTAAAGATCCGGTTATAGGCAATGAACAGAAGTTGGGTTCCTTTTGGGATCGCATAGCTACGTACTATGCGGCTTCTCATACGAGTGGTGATGTTCGAGGGCCAGGTCAGTGTAAACAGCGCTGGCACAAGATCAATGATCTTGTCTGTAAATTCGTTGGAGCTTATGACGCAGCAACAAGGGCAAAAGGAAGCGGTCACAATGAGACTGACGTTCTTAAGCAGGTGCATGCTATATTCTATAATGACCATAACAAGAAATTTACCCTGGAGCATTGTTGGAAGGAGCTTCGGAATGATCAGAAGTGGTGCGAAACTTTGACCACTCAAACCGATGGACCCTGCAAACGGAGGAAAGCTGACAATGGTAGACGAGCTGTCAATGGTGAACCATCCGAAGTTGATGGAAACAAGGACGCCGAAGCTGATCAGGCTAACATCCGACCTCCTGGAGTGAAAGCCGCAAAAGCCAAAGGGAAGAAGGCATCAATGGTGGTGGGGAAGTCTTTGAACGAGTTTAGTTCCTTGTGGGCTGTTAAAGAGAGGGATATGGTTCTGAAGAAGGAAATCACGGCAATGGGACTCCTGGACTCTCTATTCGCAAAAAAAGAATCACTCACGGCGACTGAAGAAGCCTTGAAGCAAAAGCTCATAAATCAATTGTTGGGTAATTAGGTTGTTTGTGTTTTAAGTTTATGTTGTGTCTGTTATGTCAACTCTATGTTATGTTATGTTGTTTGTGTTTTAAGTTTATGTTGTGTCTGTGTGAAGTTTAATGGATCGAGTTTTTTCAAACTCTTTAATGTTGTGTACTGCTTTGTAATGGTTTGTTGTTTAATGAAATATTATTCTCTTGACTTTGGAGCTTCAGATTTCACGGGTTATTGGAAGAGACATAAAGACAACTGAATGGAATAGATATTCACGGGTTGCTCAAAGGAGTGGAGTACAACAAGCCATGCAAAGCCGTAGGGACCCCTCTTTGAGTGGAAATCAAAGTAGTGGAGTACAAGAAGCAATGTGTTTGTTTTTTTGTGTAGTTTGGGTCCATATGTATGACACCACAACTTTATAATTGATTCATTACCACAAAACTCATTCTCCCTTGTTGTATATATACGTAAACTTGGAAGTTCAGAAAATCAAGAGAAAAAACTCATTCTCCCTTGTCCATCATTCTTCTCACTAGCTTTATTTCTTTGTGTTAATCCCATTTCTTTCACTAAATCAAGAGAAAAAATCATTTCATCGATTTCACTCAAACTTTCTTCACCTGTTTCTTGTCATTCACTCAAACCAAAGTCACTCATTTCATCGATTCTCTTGTTATGGCTTCTTCTTCCCGCGATCTTTTTGATCGGCAATTTGAGCAGCAATTTGATCAGTATTTTGATCAATATTTCGAGCAGTATTTCGAGCAAACATTTCAGAATCTTCTCAGTGATCAAGAAGCGGCTACCTCATCAAAGAAAAAACGAGCTGTCATAGAAAGACATCGAGAAGAAGGCCACATAAGATTATGGAATGATTATTTCAGCGAAAACGCAATATACCCTGATCACCTTTTCCGGCGACGTTTTAGAATGAACAAAGCATTGTTCTTGCGTATTGTTCATCGGCTCTCCAACGAAGTCCCTTTCTTTCAACAGAGGAGAGATGCTCGGGGTAGACTTGGTCTATCTGCACTTCAAAAATCTACAACCGCAATTTGTCTCTTAGCTTATGGTACTACGCTTGATTCCGTGGACGAGTACCTCCGTCTAGGAGCAACTACTGCTCGTTCATGTCTTGAAAATTTTGTGGAAGCAATTATAAATCTTTTTGGGGACGAGTACCTCAGAAGACCCACAGCAGAAGATCTTCAACGTCTACTTAATATTGGAGAGGAACGCGGTTTTCCCGGGATGATAGGAAGCATCGACTGTATGCATTGGGACTGGAAGAATTGTCCTACCGCTTGGAAAGGCCAGTATACACGTGGTTCTGGGAAACCCACAATAGTTTTAGAAGCGGTTGCTTCATATGATCTCTGGATTTGGCATTCATTCTTTGGACCTCCAGGTACCCTCAACGATATTAATGTTCTTGAACGTTCACCCGTTTTTGATGACATTATAAAAGGTCAAGCTCCGAAAGTGAATTTCTTTGTCAATGGAAGGGAGTATCATTTGGCATACTATCTGACAGATGGTATATATCCAAAATGGGCAACTTTTGTCCAATCTATTCCATTACCACAAGGCGAAAAAGCACGCAAATTTGCTGAAGTTCAACAATCTACCCGGAAAGATGTCGAACGTGCTTTTGGAGTCTTGCAATCAAGATTTGCTATAATCAAAAATCCTGCTTTGTTTTGGGATAAAGCAAAAATTGGAAAGATTATGAGAGTTTGTATCATCCTCTACAATATGATAGTCGAAGACGAACGAGACGGATACATGCATTCTAATGTTGAAGAATTCCAACAAGGAGAAGGAGGGGGAAGTTCTAGTGTGGATTACTCGTATTCCACAACTACGCCTACAAATATTCTAAATATGATGGACACCCGGAAAAAAGCTCGATCAAGAGATGTGCATCACCAATTAAAAAAAAAATTTAGTTGAGCATATATGGCAAAAATTTAGCTAAACTCAAAATAATATCCTAAAGTTTATGTATAATAATTTATGTTTTTTTTTGTAATGTTATTGTATTAAATCTGTTTTTATAAGATAATAAATCCTTCTTTAAAATAAATTATTATTACAACATTTTTTTTTTAGAAACCAGTCACAGGTCTCTCCATTGCATCCCTAAATTTTCAGATTTCTAAATTAGATTTCTATTAATAAAATAATCTATTTTAATCATAAAAATAAGAATAAGAGACCTTCATAGGTCTCTCCATTGAACATGCTTTAAGGCCCAAAATATATTTAATTAAATTGAGGTCTAAAAGACCAATTTATTGGGTTTTAGATTATAACTGGGTCTAGTGAGCAAAGTCAAAAGTTTACTTAAATAAAATATTTCTTAGCTAAATTAATAACTTTTTAATGTTTCTTAACATTATTTTTCCACAGGAAATCAAAAACATCCTGCACTTCCATGCAAAAATAGTTATCTAATTACCATGTTCATACCAAAATGATACTAAATATTTCCCTTTCTCTTAACTATGATGTAAGGGAATAAAGAACAACACTATGTAAAAATCACACTTAGGTAGAACAAATTCAATCTTGTATTTTCGTCATTTTTCCCTAAAGATGTACATATTTACTCAAAGTAGTAGAAAAATACGTAGCTAGTGAATATCACAAACTGAAATTAAGAAATTAACAATTAAAAAGAAAATGTTCAAAAGAAAAATCGCTTTCCAGCCTTTAAAAAGTCTTCAAAGTTCAACAACCCAAGAACCACTAAAGTTAGCGACGGCCACTTTTTTTGCCACCTGCCGCCGACCTGAACAGAGCCTCAGCCGCCGCCGCAACCTTAACCGTTCTCCGGCTGGCCTGAGAAGCCCGTAAATCCACGTCGTTGCTTCTCCCACAAACCTTCGACCCTGGACCCATCACAATCATTCCCTTCCACAAATTTCTTTTGCTCACTTTTTTGAAGCCATTATCACTCTTGTTCCTACTACTAGTACTAGTAGTATTATTTTCGTAACCAATTTTCTTTTGCAACAAACCATGATCATGACAATCATAATCATGATTATGAATATGATTATGATGATTATCGTCCTTGAGCCGGAAAACACTACTCGAACTCACGGATAAACTAGAATCATCAATATTGAGCCTCTTGGAGATGTTCTTGATCTCGTAAGTGTCAAGAAGACGAGAGTATTGAGTTTCTTGATCTCCACGTAAAGGGTAATTTGCGTACCAAAGCGAAGACTTAGAAACCCTATGTTCAGCCAAAACCTTATTCTCGGAGAGAATCATGTTCTTGGTGGCTTCGATCTTGTACCGTGAAGGTCGAGGTGTTCTTGGTGCTCTTGTTAGATCAAACTCTCTCATGATCGGTTTGCCTTCTTTCCTTTGGTACCAAGCCCACGCCGCCGCCTTCACCACGGCCAAATTATCATCTCCTCCGCCGCCGTAAACCGTCATTGGACGTTTCTTCTTCCTCCTCCTGTTGTTGCTAGTATTGTTCTCCGACATGGATGGTGAAGAAATGTAGTAGTTGGCGAATGGGAGCATTATGATAATGGTTTTTGTGGACTTCGAGTGTGTGAATTTTGGGGGATAAATGTTAATAGAGTGGCAAAGGGAAAGGCTAGGAAAAAAAAAAATGGTGAGTATATTTTATTTTCGTATATAGAAAATAATAAATAAAAATGAGAAAAGTAGGTGTGTTGGTCTTGCTTTAGGGTCCACCAATGGATACGGCAATCTAAATTATTCCATAGGGAAAATGTTATTTTTATTGTGTGTTAGTTGGAATTGGATGTACATAGTGCATATCCTGCGTATGGCCATCGGTCCACTCTATACGTATATTTATTTCGTGAATTAATATCTCAACAAAGCTTTGAACTTTGTTATGAATACTAAACGAGCTAGAATCTTTTTCAACATGAATGAAAATCGGAAAAGTGGTTGTTACAAAAATCAAGAAAAAGAAAATTTACAAGGGATACAAGATACAATTTTTTATAATATTAATTCATTTTGTATATATTCTGTAAATATTGCCTGAAGATTATGCGACCTATTTATCCTTTAAAACTTAAAGATCATCTCCAATGGTCCCTCATTTTGAGGGAAAACATCAAATAATGAGAGAAACTCTTCTCCAATGGTACATCATTTTGAGGAAAAAAATGAGTTTATGAACAGTATTACATCAAATTTGAGGGAACACTATTCATCCCCTCATTTCACTTTTTAGCTTTGTTTATTTGCAAAATGATCCTTATAATTTTACATATATCTCATATATATCTAAACAAGGTTTTAAACTTTTATTTACTATACAAATATAATATTATTTTTTTCTAAAACATAATAATAAATAAATATTAATTAACTTTATAAATAAAAACGTAAAAATATAATTTTTTCATTGTCATGTTATGTAATTTTCTTTATGTAATAAATGTTTTAATATAAATTAAGAATTTTGTTTGCTTAAATTTTATAATTTTTTAAAATAGTTGGGTATAATTTATAAATTTAGAAATAATGGGTGTTGTTTGCAACTAATAATAAAATAAGCAAAGAATATACTTAGAATATTCCTTTTTGAGGGAAAAAATGAGGGAAACTATTGGAGTAAAACTCTACCTCATTTTGAGTTTACTTTATTTTGAAAGAAAAAATAAAGGAAATCATTGGAGATGCTCTTAAGAAAGAGTAACGCGCAATGTCTTATCCTCAAAGAACAAAGCTTTTGGTCCTGATTACTAATCCAATAAGTCAACTTGGTATTATTCATTATTGTGGAAGTGGATGTTGTTGTAGCCATTGATGAATCCTTATTTCTATCCAACAGTTTTTGACGCAATTAATGTAAGACGATCTGGCTTGTCCCCAAATCCCATACGATGGGGGATGATGGTAGTATTTTCCCTAAGCAAACCGGTTTTCTAAAAACTAGGTTGTTTCTTGAAAGTGTTCTCTTAGCAACGGAGTTAGTTACTAGCTTTAACAAAACGAGGGCCAAGTTCCAACAGAACGAGGGAGGTTGCAAATCGATTTTTGAGAAATCTACACAAGGGCTTCCATCACATACTCCAAGACTAGTTTTCATTAGTTCACAATTAAAACCGTTTCCCAACAGTATAAGTCTAAAACCCTTCAATTATAATAACATTTTCATTTTATAATACAAATGCCCCAGGTCCAAAATCATTGGCAAGACTTAAACTGAAACAGAAATCGCCATCAGCCACCAAACATTTAAAATGTTCAACTAGTCTAGGGGTTAAAGCCTGAAAAATACACACCTTTAGTGTTGCTGGTTAGTAGTAGGAGTTACTCCTTCCACACTTTCTCTGAACAAAAACAAGCTTTGAAATCGAAAGAAAAAGACTCTTTAATCGACGTATATATATCAAGCTATTAAATTTGAGCAAATTGGTTTGAGCATCGCTAATCTCGCATCCTATATGACTGTCCTCGCCCTTGTGTCTCCTAGGAACGCAGCTAAAGAGCTCACTGATGAGATCACATGCAAGAACAAGCAAACTTACACAAGGCTAAAATAACCACTTTTTGTCTACACTTACCTCGTCACTTCATTACTCGTTCCACAATTATAACACCCAACTACTAACAAGTGTTTTACCAATGAAAGTACATATTCACCCTAATTAGCAATTTTCTAGATGTGTACTGTGAGAATATATCACAACGGGAGTTTAGTTGTGAGCTAAAAAATACATATGGGGGATATAGACTAATTAATTCAAAATTAGTTGACAGTAAGTAGATTGACATATATCCCTTATAAATTACTTAGTTCCCATCTAAACTCTCTATGTGAGATATTTTCACAAGTATACAGAAAGACAGCCAGAAAGTGAAGTGATTTTCTAATGGTTTGCTTACTGCCTTAGAAGGCTATCCCGACTAGCATGAGTGACTAAGTGATTTACATAATTGCGATCCTCACATCAGCTATAACCCAACATTTTGTCCTAAGTGACTTACATAGTTACATAATTACAGAGAAGTTAATTAAGACATAAGATTCCTATATGAACGACTACCCAATACGCATCCCTTAGTCTAATCATGCATTATTTTTGTCCTAGAGTCTTTGATAAGGTTTACCGTAATTTGATTTCCAATTTATTTTCATTACCATAAGCATCTATGTTCGTCCAGTTTGGGTTCTAAGTTCGACTAGATCATATCGGACCTTACAGGAACAATCATGGACTACGAATTGTCACAATTTACTAATGATAACTCACAGCCAAAAATTACGCAACAATATAGAATAAAGTATGCTAACGAAAAGCATAGGCTCCAAGTAATCATATAGGGCATACAAAGTCTAAGACATTTAAATTTATTACTGAACTAGAAATTGTATTTATTTCGGTGACCGGGTTTAAACTTGTGGCTGATACGAGAAGCCATTCACAGTGAAACCTCCATCGACGCAAATGGTCTGACCCGTTATATAAGAAGCTGCGGGCATACAAAGAAATGCCACCAACGATGCTACCTCCTCCGGTCTCCCTAAGCGCCCCAAGGGCTCTCTTGATATCATCTCCTTCTTGAACTCGTCATCAAGCGCCTAGAGATAATTATCATCACATGCATAGAAAGTTAAAAGATCGTCAAAATAAAGAGAGGCCTTCAAGGAATAATAGGAATCTCACAGCTTCAATCAAAGGAGTTGCAATTACTGCAGGAGCCACAGCATTAGCCCTTATGCCGTCACTTGCCCACTCGCATGCCAAATTCCTTGCTAGCTGATTCAGTGCCCCTATTTACAGTAACATATGTATTAAGGTCTTGATTGTTTGTTTATTAACATTTGTATTTAGTGTTTATGGTTTTTAAATGAATCCATCCATAATCTTAGAAAGAAAAGAACTTAAATTAAAATACTTAATAGCATGGCAATACATTTATCGAAAACTTCTACCCCGAGCACACGCAATGGAGCCGCAGACAGTCAAGCTTTTAAATGAAAATTCTATACTATCATTCGTTTTTATCAAGCAATAGAGTTTTCATTTTAATATAATAAAAAAAGGAAAGCTGGGTTAATTCACGCGACAAGCATTTTGTTTTCTTTCTTCTTTTTTGTCCTGACTATAAATGAGAGATCAAATCAAGTTTTAGTAAGTGATTGGTCAGGCATCTTGCGAAAATATTGTATGAAGTTACTGAAAAGTATGTTAAATTTCTAAAATGTAATTTGTTTTCTGATGTTAACATAAACGAAAATATATAATTTAAAACAACCTAGGTGTAACCTATATTTTGTTACCCAAAAAAAAAAAAAACATTCTAGCTCTCCTCTAAGTCATATCCAGCTCAAAGAGAGACAAATAACACAGAGCATGATTGGCAAAACCGTCTATTTAAAACTTGTTAGCTCATCAACTTTTAGAAATATTGTATAGAGGATGACATTTGGAAATTGCAAATGCTTTCTTCTTTTATGTTTTTTATGTAGTTTTTCATATTATTAACCTCAAAAAAATTTCGAAGTACTCAATTTGTTTATGGATAATATTTTTATAAAATATAATTGAATCATAATTTTAAGTTATATTTTTTATTATTAATTAACATTATATTTTTTATTTAAAATAATATAGATACATATCACACGCTTATAAATATAGTATATACATAATGCATGTATATATAATAATTGATTTCTAATCACTCAGAGTTATACTTATCACTTAAATTTGTATAATTAACCGAGTTATTACCGTTTATGTTGTTTATTACTCTCTCTGTATCATTTTATAAAATGTTTTAGGATTTTTTTTCCATTTTATTAGATGTTATGTAAATTCTATGAAAATTTTAAATGCATTTAATATCTTGTGATTAATTATAATACACAGTATTTTTATGATTAGTTGAATTATGTAAAATTAATATGATCTTTTGTATAAAAATAAATGTTTTAATCTAGGGATTTTTAGCTAAACAAACTTATAAAATAGAACAATGATAATCTATTATATAAGAGAATCTCTATTCTGTGTGTTCTCACTTGAATATCAAAAAGAAAAAAAGAAAAAATTATACTAAAAAATATTAAATGGATATTTCAACTATTTGAGATGTCCATTTAATATTTTATTAGGATCTCAATACTTTTGGATAGATATTTCAACTTGGATAGATACTCATTTAATATTTTATTACTATATTTTTTCTCTTTTTTGGATATTAGAACTTCCGAATAAAGGTGCTCTAAGCTCTTCTAACTATATTGTGTAAGAGAGATATGGTTCTACTTTCTTCTTGAGTAAAATATCAATATGTACCTTTTGTAGCACAGTAGATGGAGCTGCAGGCAAACGACACGACCCCAGCAACAGAGGACAAGAACACGATGTTCCCACATCCTGAAGCCTTTAGCAGAGGATGTGCAAGCTGGCTAAAATGGAACGCAGATTCCAAATTGGTGGAAATGTGGAACGAGAAATCATCTTCCGTATGTTTTGTTGTAGGCATTACCCGGACTGCTCCAACATTGTTTATCTAATATCAAGAATATATACAACCCGAGACATGAATCAGCCGAAGAAGTTTTATCTTGAAACAATACACAAGACAATGATTTGGATGGAAATTAATTACTAGTATACTAAGCTTGGCATCAAAAATTGAGGAAACAGTTTTCATAAGCTTCTCTCTCTCAGTCCAGGACGATACATCGCAGACTGAGCCAGTCACTTGAAACCCTTTCTTTTTCCATTCACTTAAACATTCGTTGAGCTGAGATTCGTCTCGAACACAAGTATGTATTATTGCTCCAAACCCTGCAAGTTGTCCAACTATAGCATGCCTAGAAAGTTTCAAAATTAACAACATAGTCTTGTCACTAGTGATTTCAAGATGTAGAGAGAGAAAGAGAGAGAGAGAGAGAGAGAAGACTGATGATTACGAACCCGATGCCTTTGGTTCCACCGGTGACAAGTGCGGTCTTGCCTTGAAGGCTCCATCTGCGTCTTTGCTCTTCTCCAGCCATTTCCATCAGACTAAGATGTAGATGCTAACGAAGTGGATGATGTTATGAGAATAGTTGTGGTTTTTGATTAAATATAAGTAAAAATATGGATGGCCACAAATAATAGTTGTAGTCAGACAAAAAAATATGAAATATCTCAGGTTTTGAGGACCCAGCTAGTCAATAATGTTTCAAACGTGGGACACTTGGACCCGTCAATTCTTATCCGTGACTTTAAGAAGGCCAACTAATCAGTGAAAAGGTTGAGGAAAAAAAACGTGAAATTTCTAGGAAATAAAATGAGTAAATGAACATTTACTTCTTTTTCTTTTTACTTTACAAAAGATAGAGAATTATTGAAGAAATTAAATATAATGGAATACAAACAAAAAAAATTGACCAAAACGTTAAGTTGTAAATAAATAAATAAATAAACAACTTTTGAAATCTCTTCAACGAGTCCTCTTTTATCTTTACATTTTAGTCTATGGCAGCTGCACTCCGTGAGGTTAAAATGGATTCGTCGCTTAGTACAGACCAGTCTTCTCCCACACAATTTATAAGGCAGCTATTCATATTGCTGCAAATCCAATCTCCCATGAATAGACCAAGTACATAGAAGCTAATTGTCATACAGTTCATAACGCAGTTCGAGATGGGATTACTGAAACTGAATACATTCAGTACAGACTCGCAGATTGTTAACATTTTGACAAAGGCTCTTGGGCGTGTTCTATTTAAGAACACATTGAGGAGGAGTATATTATCAGTTTGTGATAAGTCAATTAAACCTCTTGTATAAATACATATGTATATGGATTCTAAAACAGATATTTAAATCTACAGGCACAGCATACAAAGTCTAAAACATTTAAATTTATTACTGAATTTGAAATTGTATTTATTTTGGTGACCGGGTTTAAACTTGTGGCTGATACGAGAAGTCATTCACAGTGAAACCTCCATCCACGCAAATGGTCTGACCTGTTATATAAGAAGCTGCAGGCATACAAAGAAATGCCACCAACGATGCTACCTCCTCCGGTCTCTCTAAGCGCCCCACGGGCTCTCTTGATATCATCTCCTTCTTGAACTCGTCATCAAACGCCTAGAGATAATTATCATCACAGGCATAAAAGTTAAAAAAACGTCAAAATAAAGGGAGATTTTCGAGGAATAGTAGGTTCTCACAGCTTCAGCTAGAGGAGTTTCAATGAGTGCAGGAGCCACAGCATTAGCCCTTATGCCGTTACTTGCCCACTCGCATGCCAGATTCCTTGCTAGCTGATTCATCGCCCCTGTATGTATGCACACACATTAATTTTTTTAATTTTTATATCTTAGGCTTTGAATGGTAGCAATGCAGATCAATTTATGCAGATTAAAAAAATATTATTAAAAAAATAAATTAGAACTGGATGCAGAACTGGGTGGACTGCTCATATTTTAGAGCAGGTCTGGGAGAAATTTGTTTCTTTGGTTTTTAGGCAAGTAAATATCTGCATGCAGATTTTCTATTTTTATATTAATTTTTTTTGTTCTGCATAAAATCTGTGAATAGTAAAAAATTGCAAATCATTTTAAATACAGTTTAACTGCAATTATTCTGCATTTATTTTGCATCCCATTCAAAACCTTAATGTACAATAACATGTGTGAATTGTGGGACAGATTTGCCAGATCCGAGGTTATGTGATGTGTGGTACCGGAGTCAAGGATCCAGGGATTATTGGTGGGAACAGTGGTGAGAACACGGGAGTAGTTGGTGGAGTAGGCAGCAGTGGGCGTTGAGAGGTCTGATTGGTTGACTAAGGACTTAGCCTTGCTGAATGGCCTTGTGCCTTACTTGTTTGTCTACGGTTTCCTTATTATTTATATTTTATGTATCTGGTTTTTTTTAAGAGAAAATTTAAGAAAATACCTCCTAATAAATTTATAATTTGAATAATACACTTTTTAATATTTTTTAAAAAAAACTACACTTCTCTATAAGTAAAATGACTAAATTAACCTAGATAAGAATTATAGTAGTTTAATATTTAAATAAAAAAAAAATTCTTAAGAACAATAATAAAAATCTATCTATAAGTCTAATTAGTTTGGGTCTAATTTTTATGTTCTAACATTTACAGATCTAATTAGTAATCAGAAATTTTACATTTAGTTTGCCCAGCATCACATATTCATTATAAGTGTAATCCAGTGAAGACTTTCATATCCTTTTGATTACTTATATATTCTAAATCATTTTGCTGCTGCGTACAATTTGCTCTTTAAATGCCACTTCTCATTGCAAATCCATTGTTTTAATTTAGGCAGCATTAGGTTTCTGTTCACAGTTATTAGTTTCTGTAACATATCATTTTTTTTCTTACTAAAGTGCATGCATTTTAGAATCTCTAGAAATTATTATGATCTTTTCATCTTTTTGATAAAATACGTGCACTGGGATAATAACACTAATAAACTAACATTTTTGGTAGAGATAAATTTAAAATATTTAATTTAATTAATTAAATATTTCATCATAATATTAATAATTTCGAATTTTTATTTTTCATTTATTAGAATATATAATCTCTAATTATCTTTGGTGAAAAAAGTCTTTATACATATTCCAAAAGTGTAGTTTCCAAAAAAATTTAAAACAATATATTTTACTAATTCAAAAACTTAAATAGTGTATTTTGCCAATTATCCCTTTTTTTTTTAATGAATCCACAATCTACTTTTTTTAATAACTCTTTAATAACAATTAATAAAAAAAAGCGGGTTCACGTGACAAGAAACCATTTTTTTTTCTTGCTATATATGAGGGATCAAATCAAGTGTTAGTGAATGATGGGCAAACGAATTATTTAAAGCTTGTTTAGCCATCAACTTTGAAAATATTGCATAGAGGATGGTATTTGGAAATTACAAATGCTATTTTTCTTCTATTCTTTCGTATGTAGTTTTTCCTAGAGCAAATATCTTTTAAAAATTTAACTTTATACTCGAATTGTTTGTGGATTATTATTTTCTTATATAGTTGAGTCATAATTTTAATTAAATCTCTTTTACTATTAATTTTTTAATTGTTTTTGCTATAAAAAAAATCTTTTATTTAATAGATAGTATATATCTATAATATAATGCATATCTATAATATATGGTTTTATATCACTCAGAGTTATCATTGCGAACAAAATGACAGTCAGCTTCTACATTCTTAGTTCGTTCATGAAAAACAGGATTCACACTGATGTGAATGGCAGATTTACTATCACACGACATGGACATCGGATCATCATGCGAAACACCAAGCTCGAGAAGTAAGGCTTTAATGTATTTTAACTCCAAAGTAAGATCAGCCATCGCATGATATTCGGCTTCAATAGAGGAACGTGCAACAATATCTTTCTTACGTGTTTTCTAAAAAAATCGGAGAATCACCAACTTGAATGAACCATGCAGTAAGTGATCGACGAGTTAAAGGACAATCCGCCCAATCTGAATCGCACCAACCACGTACATGAAGAGGTGTATCTGCCTGGAGGAGAATGACTTGACATGCTGTCCCTTTAAAATAGCGTACAACTTTCAAGGCAGCATACCAATTATCTACACAAGGAGCTTGCATGAACTGTGATAGAATGTGAATTGAATATGAGAGGTCCGGTCGTGTAGCACCCATGTATATAAGGCGTCCTACCAAGTGCCTATATGTTTCCGGATCTGCGAGTAGAGCACTTGTAGCTCGGCCAAGAGTGTCTTTATCAATAGGGGATCCCGCCGGTTTACATCCAAGAAGACCTGCTTCTGCGACAATGTCTAAAGTGTATTTTCTCTGACAAAGATATATACCCAAAGGACTCCGTGCAATTTCCAAACCGAAGAAATACTTGGCAAATCCTAGATCTTTCATGTTGAAGCATGTGGAAAGATAGTTCTTGAATGTTTGAATGGCTTCAGAAGAGTTGCCAGATATGATGATGTCGTCGACATACACCAGGATACGAAGAAACATGCCATTCTTGGTGTAAACAAACAAAGAATAATCGGAGTAAGTGTGCGTGAAATCATACGTCTCTAAAGCTTCGAATAATTTGACAAACCAGCAGCGAGAAGCTTGTTTTAAACCATATAAAGATTTTTGGAGATGACAAACACGAGTCTCTCCATCTGATCAAAATCCCGGCGGTAGCTTCATATATACTTCTTCTTCCAAATCTCCATGAAGAAATGCATTGTGTACGTCCACCTGATGGACCTCATGAATCAGTTTGGCGGCAAGGTCAAGAAAACACGGACTGTAGTCATCTTAGCCACTGGTGCAAAAGTTTCGTTGTAATCGAATCCTTCTTTCTGATGGTTACCCAGAACCACTAGTCTAGCTTTATGACGTTCAATGGTTCTGTCCGATCGATACTTAATGGTGAACACCCATTTACAGCCCAGAGCCTTCTTTCCGGGTGGTAAGTGTTCAAGTCTCCATGTCTTGTGTTTCTCTAGAAAATCAAGTTCACAATTTAGTGCTTTCTCCCATTGTTTGTCTCGTATGGCCTCCACGTATGAATGGAGTTCAATGTTTGCCGTCAATTCTATTAAGAAGCTGCGATAATTATCAGAAAACTTGTTATAGGAGACAGAATTACATAGAGGATAGAGAGGACCTGAGGATGGCTGAGGAGCGAACGACGGTAGAGAGAGAGAGAGAGAGAGAGAGAGAGAGAGAGAGAGAGAGATAGGAGGGATGGAAGCGGAACCAACTTCAAACCCATGAAGACGTGTATAGGGGATACGTATACGATGTCCTCTACCTAGATTTTAATGAAAAACCGGCGGAGGAAGTTCAGTGAGGTTAGTTTCGGGAACAGGAATCACAGTCACTTCCTGTGATGGACTTGGTGGAATGACAGGATCACTGATGTCCTGAACGTCATCCTCATTTTCAGGGGAAAGATGTATCGGAGGTAAAACAAGGGAAGGATTTGGTGTCAAAGTAGGAACCGGTTTAGAGAAATGGAAACTGTCTTCCTGGAAAACCACATCTTGTGAGACAAATATCACCTCTCGATCAAGATCGTATAATTTCCAACCTTTCTTTCCATATGGATAACCCAGAAAAATACAGTG